TGCTGAAAATGGCTCCTCCTCTGGGTCTGTGAGTGAGCCCAGATGCTTTTTGTAACTTTCACAGCTGTTTTTTTAGTTCTTAAGTCACTTTTTTCCCCCTGTTAAGTTATGGGAAGTCATTTGCTGCCACCTACCAGCACAGTACAAACATTTTTGAGAGGAAGTGGAGGGCATATTCACATACATTTAACAGTTCCTCTGCAGCTGTGTTTGAAGACTTCTTTAGAGTGGAGGGGGCATATTCCCTTTCATTTTGCCCTTAATGTTTTCCCCAAAGTTTAATAGTGAACGAGAGAAGCCTTTATTACATTACAGTTGAAAGAGGCACACCCTACTGATTGTGCTTCCAGGAAAAGCATCAAATGATATCGTAAACCTTCAGACAGTATTCAGTACTTGAGGTCAACTTTTTCATAAGCAATGTATTACTGAAATGCAGACAAAATGAACAGCGGGCTGGAAACTAATATTTCTCAAAGTAACAGCTGTTAAAAAAGCATTTTACGATGTCATGCTACATGAAGATGTAAAAGCAGAAGTTACTCATGGATTCAATTGCTTCTCTAAAAGTGGTTTTCATGCACTATGGTACACAGCATGCTCCAACAGAACTGCTGTACAGAATCTTTTTTTTTTAAAGACTGCACAGAAAGAATGCATTGGTGACACGAAAGGAAAATGAAACAGACCCATGCACCTTCGCCAATGTTACCATCTAGGATAACTCTGAAACACCACCATTTCATTGCTAGACATGTATTTTCAATTTAATAAATTTTTTTAAGGCTTTTCTTGTTCATATTATTTATGAGACTCTTCTTTCTAAAGACTGTTGCACATATTGGATATTCTGAAACAAGTTTTTTCACGTAGCTATTCCCATCACCCACTGAACATAAAACATAGAGCTGTTCCGTTGGATCTAAACGAACTCTGCTTGGTGCAGTACATGTAGGCCTGGCAAAGAAATGTAACTTTCTTCCACCTTTTTACAGAATCCTGATTCTAGATTTCAAGGAGTCAGAGCTGCCTTATTTGGATTTTGGCAGATTTTCTTCCCCACTTTTTCAGTCAGGTTACATCTATGTTGCCTCTTAATAGCAGTGCAAAGCAGACTGTAAAAAAGCTGAGAATCTGTCTGATAAGCTGTCAAAAATAAGAACTAATCTTAGCTTGGAAAAAATCCCAGAATTATGGACATAGTAGGCTGACAAAATAACACTTGGAATGAAAACATAGCCACCACGAAAATCACGGTAATAAACAATCTCTGGGTAATCAGAGTGTTGAATAATCAAACTAGAGTTTATTTCAGAAATATCAAAACTACGTTCAAGAAAGCTAAATATTAGACATCTTCAGTTACTGGAGAAGCAATAAAATAATCTACAGAGGAATGTCATGCCAATTGCAATAACAAACATTTACAGCACTGCTTCCATATAGCATGCATACTTAACCAAAGACAAAATTAAAGCAACAAAAAAATGCTATTTGTTAACATTTGAAAACTTTAAATATAAAGGAAAAACATGAATAAGAAATTTTGGTAATACGAAAAAATATATGTCCAAAAATCTTTATTAAACACTGTACAAAACAAAATATTGCACTTTTAAACCAGACAATAAATATCTACAAAAGTATCTTACAAATGTTTTCTTTTAATTTAAAAAACGGCTTAAACAATCAAGACCCATTGCTGATTAAAAAGGTAATGATCAGGAATATCTATACAGTAGTGCTAATCTAATTTTCAGTGATGCAAACCCATTGTGCCGGAATGCTGTTTCGAAAGCTGTTCTTACAGCATACCCGCTAATTAGCATGTAATGTAGTTCAGTAATGTAACACAAGATCCAAGTCAATACAAGCATTCAGGCCTCCAACGTGTGCAGTAGTCTGGAAACTACAAAAGAAAAAAAACCGTCTACCTGCTGCCTCCTATGGGGTTCTCTCTGCTTACAGCCCTAACGAGGCATAATCTGCAATATGGAAAATAATTTACCCAGGAATATCATAATCAGAATTTAACTACTTGCAAAAGACTCAAATGGTTAATGGTCATGATGAAAAGTCATCTTGATGGAAAACTGCTCAAAATAGATTTCTTGCACGTGTCTATCTTCATAATTAATAATTCTTCCTTGGACATTTTTCCCCATTAACAGGGGAAAAAATATTTATTCAAGACAGAATATCTGACAGCCATGTCTGGCCAGTTATTGGCTCCCCATTTGCCTTGATGTGCAAGAGAACAGTGCTCACAAATGTTTCATTCACAGCTCTGACAAGGGAGCCTTGTGTCTAATTTAAAATCGGTAAAAAAGTCTAATCATGCCAGAATTTTGTACTTCAGCAACTAAAGCAGAATAGAAACAATAGAAAGTGACACCTCATTTATTCAAAACAGATCTATTGCTGGTTTGAAAATTGTACTAGCATCTCCAATGTCTTTTACTGCGTACACATAAATACAAGCACGAAAAATGAAATGTACTTCTGTGTATCCACCTGACAGCTACTGTCAGCAAAACACATCCTGTGAGATCGACCCTTAAGCTCAAGCTGTTTATGAAAAGGAAGTCGCTGCCAAAAATTTTACAGCTACAAGTCACAGCTTCTATAAATTTAAAAATTGTGTTAAATTTGATAAAACAATAAAAACAAAACCTAGGGGGTCAATAGTTGCTGCATTCCAAAATTCTTCAAAGGATTTTGTGACTTTGTTTTTCTCCTAAGTTAGGGACAGTAAGCACTACTTAGTGCTTTTAGATAACACTTTTTCCCCAATAAAATTATAATGTGATGGCCCGTAAAATCTTACAGATGATATGCCATGATATTATCTTCCTAATCCAGACACGAAAATGTCTAAAACATTAAAAGTTCCATTGCAAATAGTGGATAATAAAAGTTCCCAGAAAAAATACCCTGTCCAGCACATCAATCTGCAATACTCTCTTTTCATTAGCCCCATGTTTCCATTTAACTGCTATGACTAATGTCTTATTTACAAGTATATACTTTGAGCAGGCTAGTTTAAAGAACCTCTCTTCTCATCTCGTCACTGCAGCATCATGAACTTTCCATAGAAGAGTTACATTTCTTGACATGATTGACAACACCTTTGTTTGTAGATGTCTATCAAGCATAACTTTAGTTGCTTTACAAATGTACAGTAGTGAGTTGTATCCTTGCATTCGCCTTCTGAAAAATATATTTAAACATTAAAAGGCTTTATAATGGACAAAAGATAAACAGTAGAACCTATCATTGCAATTGTAAACAAGTGATGGACTCCTGGTAGCTTTGTAATTATTTTACTTTGCCTTTCTGGCAATAGTGGATTCAAAACTAAACTAGGTCACAAATAAGAGGTGTGATCTCACTGCATTCGTTTACCTATTGCCTGTTTCAGAGAGCTACCCCACCTTTCAGGAATTAACAGTTTGCTCAGAGACTTATGAGTCACAACTGGCACAGTCATGTAGGGAAGTTTGCATAAAACAACTTCCTCAATATCCTGTTTCTAAAAGTGCTTTTGAGGCTTTAATATCAAACCGGCCTACTCAGAGAAAAATAACCCTAGAATTACGAAGTGCTCCTTGGAGAGGATAGTTTTACCTTTGATGTACAGTCAAATGCTTGTAGAATCATTAGCGTACAACTGTGAGTCACTTTCTAATATAACTGCTACAAACTATTACTATGCTCATACATAAATAAACATTTACATACTACCACAGGATGTGACGTTGCAGTGTTGCCAGGTCACTGGTCTCTTCCTCCATCCACAATGCTGCTCAGCCACCGGTTTGTTGTTCTGTCTGTGTACACAGTACACTCGTCTGGACTGAAATCCACTCCCACAGTCCACACTGCAAGGCCTCCAGGGGCCTGTCCGCCAATAGACATCACATGCCTCTGAAGAACAGTTTCTTCTGACAGGAGATCTGTGGAGGAAAATAAATGGCAGTTAAATGTTTACTTTTGTGCTAAATCCTGATTCACAGGATGATAGAACCAACGGCAGAAGGGACTTCTGGAGGCTGGTTAGTCCACGCCCCCTGCTGATAGCACGGTAAACCAGACCAGGTTGCTAACGACCATCTCCATTTGTTTTGAGTATCTCCAAGAATGGAGACTCCACAACGTTTCTGGCTAACCTGTTCCAGTGTTTGAGAACACTCACAGTAATAAAAAGGGTTTTCTTATATTTAAGTTGAATTTCCTGTATTTCCTTTTGTGCCCATTCATCATGCCCCACTCATGAGGAAACAAAAGACAAAGCCCTGTTTCTTTAAACCAATTCCTTAATCCTGGAATAGAAAAAATGTTGTGCCTTTAGGAAAACTTAACTGACCCTGAAACGTTGCATACTGGATGCTGCAAGTGCTTTGTGCATAACCTCTCTCCTGAACACAAGCAATATTTCCATGCTGACCCTGAACCTCCTTGAACATTTGAAGCTGCCAAAGTGAAATCATGGCTCTTAGTAGTAAATGGAAGTTCCACCAGGTACTTCAGCGCAGCCAAAATTTCCTTGTGTGTGCAGCAAAAACACTTTAAAATGGTCACAATTCAGAAGCACTTCTACAGCATGAAGTATGAAGAGCTGGGTTCAGTAACTGAGAAACACAGTAACAATTCCCATGTATGTATTTGTTACCCACTTATTCCCTGCTTTTCATTGTCCTACCTACACATTTGGTCTGGAACAAAGTTTTGTGCCCCCAGACTCTCATGTTCAGTTTTAATTTGTCTTTAATTCAGCCTTTTTGAGATTATGGTGTTTTATGGAGACTGCCATCCATCCATGTGCTACAGCATAGTCCCAAGCGAATCTCCTGATTAAGATTTTGTGGAGGTGTATAGCCTGTACTTTTCATATTGAAAGGAGTTGTTTAAAGACAGCAAAACAAATTAACAGAGTTCTTACAAAGAATGTGTACCTTGAAGTAAAAAGTCATACCTTCTCAACCATTCAGTTTTCACATACCTCATACATACCTCAACAGTACATACTAAGGCAGAACGAGATCTGTTTATGCAGAGAAGTACACCTTACTGCAGTAATCATAAACCAGTAAACCAATTTACATGGTCCACAAAATAAGCCCCAGGAAAACTCTTATTTTATAAAATTTGGGCAGCAGTAGACCAGAATAAAAAGTAATATCAGAAGAGACCTAGTTCAGCAGTAATAAAAAAAATTATGGCAGATTTCTACTTTCTTTTTGGGAATCAGGATTCTCTCGCTCTATTTCTAGCCTTGCCATTAGCACAGTGGAGGACACTGACCAAATCCATTACTCTCCTTGGGTTCCCGAATTCATTCCATGTATACAAAGGGATGACTGCGACTGCCTCCTTTCCTTGTGTTTGATATGTAAGAATTTGCATACTTATACTGCATTGGCAATCCTGTATCTTTAATTTGATCATCTAAAGAATCAAACTTGTACTGCTTCAAACTGTATACCTCTTTCTTTCATCACAAGAAGAGTTCGGCACCAAAGATCCATTACGAAGTTGACATATAAAGTGACGATGCTGTAAACCTACAGGGCGGCCTACGCAGCGACCAGAACACTGAGAAGTGAGAGAAAAGGGTGAGGGGAAAGAAAAAGAAAGAACCAAGTTAATAACAACAGAATCACCCTTCTAGGCAGTTCCACAGTTACACAACCCAGTCATAATTCTTGATCTATTTCTCCTTCTTCAACCCTACCACGCCTCAGTTCAGATAAGGCCTAGAGATTTTGGACTCTGTGTGCAATTGTGGCAAGATACTAACTTTCCTACCTATTCATAAAGCTAAATCCGTTGTCTGTGGTCTCATCATTTCACACCTCTAGTGCTACAACATTCCTTCTGTAGCTCTGACGATCATGAACTTGCCTTGCTAATGCCTGTATCAGAAATGCGGCAACAGTAATTCTCTTAATTCATTACTTTGCTCATTGTAAATACAGTGTTATAATTATAAAAATCATGTCAAAATGAACACAAGTTTACTGCACAAATGAAGAAACATAGAAAACATAAGAAAGCAGAGTTCTGTGTATTAAATATTGTGGCAACTGCTTTTGAAGCCCATTCATATATCTTTCTTTGGGGACTTCACAACTACAGGTATGCAAACTGTGTTCTTATAAGACTGCAATAAAAGCAATTTACTAGCTTCAAAATGGAATACATAGCAATGGATTAGCTTATAAAATATATTGAAACTAATACTCAGGTTTCAAATCACATCTTCGACAAATAAAAGTAGCTCAGACATCACAAAATGAAAAAAAAAACAGGACTTGTAATTCACTAGTCTGAAAGGTTATTACAGCTAGTGCCACACAGCTCTTCCTTTGTGCAAGAGAATGGATGTTCAGCCAGCGGTACGGCGACACTGGTACACTTTTATAACACAAGGAGTTTCCAGACAAACTCTAACTTACCTGGCCTTTTGTCTGTATTGTCCCCACCGTACACAAATGACCCATACAGGGTTTCCTTCCCACAGGACGATCTCTGTGTATACAAGCATCTGGTAGCAGTGTCAGCTCGCTGCCATTGGCTTTTATGTGTTGGCAAGTTATTTGTCGATAGCGAAATCCATTGCCGCAGGATGCGGAGCACTCAGACCATGGACTAGTTACCCACCTACAGGATGCAGAGACAAATTTATAGCAACTCTGAAAGCACTGCAAACTTGCTGGTAGTTTGCAGCTATCTGTTTGCAAATAAAAATCAAAAGAACCTGTCATTGCAAGTTTTAGATGTGGGAAAAGGTAGAATCAGCTTTTTCAGTTGTTAAGCAAGATCTCATAAATTTGGTTAACTGATGACTTCTAAGATAACCGTGCCTCAATATATGCTAACAGAAGTTACACTGCTTGTTACCAAAGAGGTTGTATTAGGTAAACCCTGTAGACTCTGCTGGATTTAATATTTCTGAAGGAAGCACAGCGTAGTTTTCCTTAACTTATAAAATGAATGGTACTGATTTAGTTACTACTGAGGTGACAGGTGTCGTAACTCATCCAAATTTATTACATCAAGATCTTGCTAGATAACGGCTCAAGCAGGACATGTTATTTATTGATTAGAAGTTGCAAAGATTTAGTCTGTCTTGGCAGCCAGGAACAATACCGGGGAAGCAGCAGGTGGTAATACAATTTATTTGGCTTGATCTTTTCATAAATCCAGGCTGGAAATACAGAATGGGACTTTATGTGTAGCACAACTGTGATAACAGGAAAAATATTCTCTTTAGCAATTATTTCATTTTCTTACAGTCAAACAGTTTATATCCATTCAAGGAAGATTAATCTTTTACAGTCTGGACTCTTGTCTTTTTCTCCCTTTTAAAGCTCAAGTACTTTTGCAAACATTTGGTGCAGCCCATGCACAGCAAGTCAGCAAGGCCCGAATTTGGCAAACACTTAAAGCACAAGTTAAGTACACACTTAAAGCCCTATATTTGCTTAATTATACTTCTATGCTGTGCTGGAGAGAAGTGATTAAACACATGCAAAACACTTTGAATAATAAGGGCCCATGACACTGGCCATACATCTAGAGCCTTTATAATTCTATGGATACTTTCTGAAGAGTTGCCTTGGGATGAGAAGATCATGCAGAAACCAGTAAGTGGGGAAATGGAAAGGGAAGTCTGAACATTTTGCACTTCCCTCCCAGGTCAGTAATCACAGGGAAGGGGGAGAGGTTGGAGGCGCTAGGAACCAGACACAGGGCTATTTTCCAGGCATCTGGGATGCACTTCCCATATAGGAAGCATGGAATACTTCATAAAAGAAAAACAGTTTTAATGTCAGCACACATGTATAATTCAAGGCAGAATTAATTATATTAGTATACACACAATTCCCTTCCACTGGTAAATTCATAAAGCCAAATTAAAAGCAAAATAAATCTAAGCATTTTAATAAGAGAGAATTTAGGTCCCAGTCTGCTTAGCCATACGAAATAACTGATTGGTTTTTGTGGTGAAACCTCTGGGTCCAGTGATAATCAGGTTGTTAAGTCATGCACTGCAGTCCCCTGAAAAGGCATGACCTTGCTCAGGGGAGCACCGGGCCCTCCAATATCCTCCTAATTCTGGCATCTGCTCTGAATGGCTGCATTTTAAAAGGGAAACCTGCAACTGAGCCTCTGTGTTTCAAACTATTAGTTCTATTTCAGTATTTTTCCACTGGCAAAAAGTTTGCTTGTTATGGGCTGGCTGGAGTTCAGACTCACAGTTTAAGATGATCTGTTTTTTTGGCTGCTAATAATGAAATATAAACAAATTTCTCCTGATATTTATCTGTTGCTATGTTTTCTGTATTTAGAACAGAGTTTAGAACATACTGGCAAGATGCACTCCTACAATGTCAGCTAAGGTCTTAACACTTCTCTCCGAACATTTTCCAGTGAGGGACAACTCCACAATGTGTGCATGACTTTTCATCCCTCACAGATTTTTACATTGCTGACAGCCATGGCCAATTCGTTTAAGCAACGGAAAGCACTTGTTTTGAGGACTCCTGTGGGATTTCCTGCTAAAAACCTAGAGCAACGCCTTGTTGAGCTGGAACGCTCAGCGCAACTCAAGAAGTCTCGAGGCAAGGTTTTGGCCTTTGGAATCAGATGTTGTGGTATACTTCCCTGTGATCTAAAGACTTCCTGCCCCAAGATCACAAGGCGCCCCAGCTGATCCCGCCAGAAAATTGGCAGGGAAGGACATGCAAGGAGCGTGACACTGTGGTGAGGGACATTAGAGACAAATGAGGCATTCCACAGTAAACATCCTACTCGGAGCTCTGCTGGCACGGAAGGAGAGGAGGTGAACACAGATTCCACTCGAGTGTGCTGGCTGCTCTAAACATAATGAGTTTTCCCTCAGGGCATGGACACAAATGCCCCAAAACTAGCACATCGGTGTCTCAGAGAGCCCTCCAGCTTAGCTTTCAAGGTGGTAGTGTGGTAGCAGCCACACTTGCTGCAGCAGCATGGAGACTTGCACAGATCTCACGTATTCAGCTGAATCAAGCGTTCCCCTGCTTGCTTGTGATCTATTTTCCCATCTCTCATGCTTTAGGGTTCATGTTGAAATAAACCCCACATTTCAGACTCAGAGCATAAACACAGAAACAATTTCAGGAGGCTGTGAGTGCACTGTAATACACACAGAGCACATGGACATAGAGTAGAAAGGAGTTTACCTGGCAGGGCAGTCATCTCTGTTGCATGACTGGTAAATAATTGCTGGCTTTTGCAGCTCTCTGCATAATGATTCATTTACTTTCTGTTTCTCTGCACTCATGCACTGTAGTCTTCTGGAGCGGGTTCCTGAATTCCCGCAGCTAGCAGAGCAAGTACTCCACTCAGCATATTCCCATTTATAATCTAAGAAATGCAATTGAAAGTAGTGTGAGAGAGGCACTATGCATTATAACTGTGTCACATTTTAATGGATTTGGCAGCATATTCTGTAAGCTAGATAGATACCGTATCCTCTGTAGAAAAGCAAATATTTCAGCATTGTGAAAAGGGACCATAAGCCAAAGTAGAATTTAGTCCTGCTCAGCTTCCCCTCAAGTTCAGCCCTTACATATGAGCATGAAGTTCTCTAGAAGGCAAATGGGATCAGCATATGTGCACATGAAGGGCAGAACCTGGCTCACAGTAGGAACTGATGAACTTCTTTTAAAACTTTCATAACATTTTTATACAATGAGCATTAAAAAGAGGAAACTGTAAATCAGGCTCTCTAGGTTTCCTGCTGTTCTACAGCAAGTATAGTCTGAAGAAAACTCATCTTACTCCAGCCACTTCACATAATATCAGGATTTAAGAGAAGCCTGTACTAAACTATAGAAAAGTATTTAATGCATAAATAATCTGCCACTGAGGCATCTGGCAAGATGAAAAAGGAATTTTGTTTTAAAGAGCATTTTATATAAAAAAACAATCACCTCTAACAATTACTACCTTTATATTTAGTCACAATTCCACACCTACCCCTTCCCCCCCAGTTTTTTTTTTTTTGACGCTTGGTAAAAGATGAAGTACTATGCAATGTTGACAGATTTTTATGTGATCACAGAAGGAGTGAGATTTTTCTGTAATAACGAAGAATAATTGATAGCTACCAGCTGTGTCCACAGGCTCACTCTTCCAGCACGTAATGAATTCTTTAACTTATTGTTTTTCAATGTTTCCTTATTACTTGTGGGTTTCTTAAAATAATACAAAAGGGCCTTATTCAAAGTAGAAATAGTTAAATTTACTGACTGCAACTATGATGGAGAGACTGTATTGTTTGTTTAACTAGGATGATACTGCTCAGAAGCGCCCTCAATATGCCTACTGTGCAAAAACCACCAAAGGCGATTTTGCAGTCTTACAAATGCATGGGTATTTCAGTGATGAAACATTTACATAAGCAACAGAGTTAAAGCTCACGACTGGAAAATGGAGTCTCCCCAAAATACTGACCAGCCTCACTGGAAGGGGTATTGGGCAACCCAAAGGCAGTCCAGCTAAAGACTACAGGTGGATAGTTCAACACCCAGCTAGACCTGTGCAGAAATTAGAATCATAGAATCATAGAATCGTTAAGGTTGGAAAAGACCCTCAAGATCATCGAGTCCAACCATTAACCTATCACTGCCAAGTCCACTACTAAACCATGTCCTCAAGCACCACGTCTACCCATCTTTTAAATACCTCCAGGGATGGAGACTCAACCACTTCCCTGGGCAGCCTGTTCCAATGCTTGACCACCCTTTCAGTGAAGAACTGTTTCCTAATACCCAACCTACACCTCCTGTGGCGCAGCGTGAGGCCATCTCCTCTCGTCCTGTCACTTGTTACTTGGGAGAAGAGACCAACCCCCACCTCGCCACAACCTCCTTTTCCAATGCTTGACCACCCTTTCAGTGAAGAACTGTTTCCTAATATCCAACCTAAACTTCCCCTGGTGCAGCTTGAGGCCATTTCCTCTCGTCCTGTCACTCGTTACTAGGGAGAAGAGGCCAACCCCCACCTCGCTACAACCTCCTTTCAGGTAGTTGTAGAGAGCAATAAGGTCTCCCCTCAGCCTCCTCTTCTCCAGGTTAAACAACCCCAGTTCCCTCAGCCACTCCTCATAAGACTTGTGCTCTAGACCCTTCACCAACTTCGTTATAGAATCAAAATATAGAATCAAATTCTAACTTTAATGAGATCTGTATTAGGACCAAGGCCTGGATACATTTTTTGATAAACTCTACCAGGATATTTTCTGATTCGGTTCGTAAATATTTTGATTTACTTTTGATTTAAAAAATGAACATCTTGATCATAGATATGCTTCAGTAAAATTACTTTGTAAACGTAACTGACTCCGCAACTCCACACATACAGAACCGTTCTCGATCATAAAAGTAAGCCACTGGCAGCCACTGAGAGTACACGCTTACACACAGCGTGGGAGATTTGCAAGATCTGATCTTACAGCTTGAGTCCTTTGCACATAAACAGCAAGCCAAATCCTATTGATAGGATAATAGATAAATCTCATACAGAAACTTTCAATTTCAACAAATACTTGTTTTTAAACCTGATTTGCACTCCCTGGGTATTGACTGGTTAGAGAGGTTTTTTGTTAAACTGTCAAATGGAGTTTGGTGCTTTGGTGCCAGACTTTTAGTAGGATCTAGAGTTCCTAACTCTCTTTTTTAAAGCTCCATTATAAAGTAATTAATTTCTAAAGCACTTTAAATATTTACAAACTTTATAAAATGTTTGCAGATGTAAGATTCTTCTCAAATTCATCTGTAATCTTCAGGTGCACATTTTATAACCTACTAAAGGAAATGTAGCTTTATGCAAGCACATTACATTGGAGAACATTACAAAACGTTCTTGAAAACTTAACACTGAAATTGATGAGTGTGCCATAGTACATTGATATGTTTAAGGGTGACTACAATAAGATGGCTACCACATCACTGTAATGACACTGGAATATGACAATGATATTAAAATTATTTTGATTATAATTAAGATATTTCCACAGATGACCTCCAAGTCAGTTTTGTTTCAGTTTGGTGGCTATCATGGCAGCAATTTGTATGATTTGCTGAAGGGGAAGCTGAGAAAATCTGTCCAATTTAAAACTGCTTAAACAGCAAGACACTGAATCAGGCAACATTCTCTCAGCTTCTCAGCTCCACAGGTAAGAAATGAGAACCCCCATGTGGTATTTGGATACACATTAATTCCCATACCCAACTCTGAGTATGGACATTGTCTATTGACTTAAATGGGACTATTCACATATGTGAAGTTAAACATACGTTTATGAATTACTTCCTGTGTATAAAAGCAGGTTAGGTTTTGGGAAAGTATTTACAGAATGAAAGAAAATATTTTAAAATTTAAGAATTTGTCATATAATTTTCAACAAACCTTCCTTCTTGACATTTACCCAAACTGACATTGGTTTTGCACTAGCTGAAGTCCAACATTGGAACTGTCCGGCAAATTGACCAGAGTTGGTGTTCACCTCTAGGATACGACCCCCAACCAGGGTTCGGTATTCCAAGGTCTTAACTTCTTCAATTGGACTATCTCCGAAAAGCCAGTGAACTGAATTTCTGTAGCTGGGCAGAACTGGGCAACCTAAAAATCAACAGCATTTTAGCAGGTTTTTCTAAACACATTGAAATGTTTGTGAATAAGTACATATGATTGTGTGATTCTACGTAAAAGACCTGACCAGTCTAAATAAAAACAAGAGTATGCATAAATTCATTGAAGTCCAAGCTATGGCCCAAAATCCTGACTGCCCCTTGAGGGTTATCAGCTGTGTAAGCTGATGTATGCTTACCATAATGCTTTTTATTTTCCCTTTCGGTAAGTTCTTACAAACTTCACTTCTATATGAACGACATGCCGGGGCGGGGTGGGGAACAATTATTTAAACGGAACGAAGATTTCATCCCAGACTACAATATGCAAATAGGTTTGTACTGAAAGACTTTCTATCTGTTTTGGAAAGGAGTCATAAACACATTAAATGAAATTGCTGCCTTTTCACTCCACAGGCACAAGCAGGGATGGGAACAGAGGTTTTCATTTAGACAGAAAAAATAAAAAAAACACTTCTAGAGCCCAGCTACATCCCCTCCCATCATTTTCAAGTGAAGCTCAAAGAGAAATTATGCCGCTTCAGTCACATGGTGAGTCACCTAGACAATGCCTAAAGGGTCGCCATTTTAAAACATTTTTTGAAAAGCTGCATCAAAAAATAATTGTGTCTCTTACTCTGAGGCTCCCTCCCTGATAACAGAAAGCTGAGATAAGATTAGGGAATCCAGAAAGTCACCAAACCCCAGACTCTTAGGAATTACGCTCACTTTCTCCCTAGGGAGTCCTCTCCATTTTAATGAAATGAATAAATAATAGAATTTAAATGACAAAGCAGAAAAGACAACATACCTATTCTTAGTGGATCTCCAGGTACCACACTGACATTTGTACCAATTCCAGATGCCATTAGGACACGCTTTCTTCTGCTTCCCATTGATAATAGAGTGTTATTCTCTATATATCTTTGTTCTGTAACACAACGCATAAGATCTCTTTTTAGCAAGAATTAAATCAATATGCTAAAAAAAAATTCTATCAAAATATCCAACACGCTAGTTATGAAGCAGAAGGGTAATAGCACTTTGGAATTCTTTAGGATCAACTTCATTTATGCAGTTAAATGGTCCGTCTAAAAAATACACTTCAGATACGTAAACAGGGAAACACATAAATTACTTATAATGCCTATGCAAGTTTCTAAATTAATCAAATTTATTGAATTTTATTTATTAGAAAAACAAGCCTGTAACACTTAGTGTAAAAACAAGATTTACAGGATGTATGCTGTATTTCCTGTTTCTCATGACGATGTTATTTCATTACCAGTCATTCACATACAGAAATTTTAAGGAAAATAATTCTCTCAATGAAATCAGGCCAATTCCTCTGTTCCATTAGATGGAATTATGACAAAGTGCTACGACAGAAAAAAAGAAGAAAATCTCTTAAAATCTCATTATGCATAAAGATAGCATAATGTACGCAGAATCATATGCCTATCACTATAGCAACTCCTCCTTTTTATCATATGCCAGACGGAATAACTGCCAAAAATGTGGGCAATCTGTCAGTAGCACACAGTTCTTGCCATTTAGTCAACATTTCTGTTTTAATGAATGTGCATAATATCTATGATTCTCCTTCCAGCACGGTTTAAATCTTTTGTTATATTCTAACTTCCGTGGGTCATTTTACATTGGTTCAACATTTTTTCTCAGTGTGCAATGTCTGTACAAAGCCTCCTGCTTGTCTGTGTAAACACTGGGACGAAAAAGTCTCCACAGAACCACAGTGGGGCCAGTCCCATAGAGGCAAAAGGCTAGTTCCCTCATCAGTCCTTAGGAACTTTCATTAGAAAGGCTGCGCAGATTTTGCTCTACTGCTTGAGTGCCCCAGGTCAGGCAGTAATTGCTGTAGCAAAGTCCAAAAGGCTGACATGATGTTGCTTTAGACAACACTGAGTCAGTGCAATCTGCAAGTCCTGACACCAGAAGTCCTCCCATTTCATTGCACAGCCAAAAAAAATTGCAGAATTTGGCCCTCTCCTATCCGCTCAAGATTTATTTAAACTAATGTCATGTGACCAGGAATAGAAACGAAGTTTGGACTCTTGTGAGCAATCGGCCCAGTCACGTCATTATAATAATATTCCTCCCTGGAACATCTGAAGTTTTGATGTAGTCCAGGAAAAATGAAACCAAGAAGGGAGCTTCAGTCTACACTCATCCTCACACAGAGACTCCTGTTATGCCTTTGGTACGTCTTCCTTGGCCAACAGATCCAAACATCTATAACCTGCCCTACGCATGTGAGCCTAAGAAAGCAAGCTTTGTAGCAGGATTGGCCATGTGTAACTGTGTTGTACTTGTACAGCAAAATGGTGAGAAAGTTAATCTCTAGAGCTGAATGATCCATTTATTGGAGCTATTTTCAAGGCATGATTGTATTATACAGTATTACATTATTAATCTACTTACAATAGAGTCATTTAAGAGGAGTTTTTCTTTACATTTTCTATTCTGAGAGTTAGCAGTTCATATTCAGAATTTTTTGTTTTCCATGTCCCTATGTTTTATTGGCCTCTATAATTAAAAAACCCCCAAACCAGCCTTTGCTTTCATTTCACTGCATTTCCCTGCAGATTTTCTGAATAAGTCAAGCCTGCCCTGTTTCCCTAGATAATAGCACTGGGAACAATGTAATATGACAGTGGATTTAGTTTTCTAATGTGTCTGCCGGTTTAAGGGCTGATATTTGTTGCCTGGAAGCAAGAAGATGGAACAACTTTTGAAGAAGTCACAAGTCAAACCATCTGTGCCTAGATCCACTATTACAGGAAACACAAAATAGGGAACAGATCCCAGAGAGTCAGATGCAGTCAAAAATTCCAAGTTCATAATAAAGTGTTAAATATCCCCCCAACTATTTTATTGGTTAAACTTCATAACCGAAGTGGCTCACTGTTGTTATCGGCAAGGAATTCTCATTTAGCACTTACCAGTTAAGTGGAGAACAGACGCAGCTTCAGCTTTTCCGAGAGCGTTAGTTGCTCTGCAAGTGTATGTTCCTGCATCTTCATAGGAAACATTCCTCAGAAATAAAGAGCCATTCAAAACCAAGAAAGAATTGATTTGTAGAATGTCTTTCTTCTTAAACCATGTCACATTTGGTTGGGGAACACCTTTAAAATGCAAATAATTAAAAGATTTATTGAGAGAGATAAACCGTAGGTTTTATATTGCTAACTGCTACCATAACATTAAAGAATTGTAAGTTCCTTTGTCATTTCACAGAGAGTGTAAACCAAAGTAACAACACTGAAGCAAAACAAGTACTTTCCCACTCAAAACAAAACTTCTCAGTTGCAAGCCCTATTAATAATTCAGCATCCCACCGAGATTAAAGGTTAAGCACCGTAAAGCAAGCTCACAGAACAGCTTTACAAACTGCTACCACTCCTACAAAAGCAGCATGCTCATGTGGCTTGCTACTGAAAGATGTGAGACCATTAACCCCAATCAGGACCAATTAAGATAAAGATTTCCACGGCATCTTTTCATCCAACCTGCATCCCAGAATATATGAAGGAAGGAATGAATATTCAATTTCCAATTAAAAATAAAGGAAAAAAGAAATGGAGACAAAATATTTCTCTTGAAGGAAAAAAAAAGATATATTTATCAATTAGATTAGAAAATATACGTGGCCAATTTCTGCCAAAAAAGCTCCTGAGAACTTCTCCAAGTAGCAGATGTCATGTATACAACTTGTAACAACGCAGCGTGAAGGAAAAGGAACAGAAAGAGCCATTAATAACTAAACAAGGGGCTCAGTTGTTAAACAATCTCATTTACAATGTTACAGAAAGCCAAAGGTCTAGCGTCATTCCTATTGTAACACTTGAATTCTGAGAAACTCAGCATTTTCAGATAACTTGTCATTCTAAAGTTTAATCAATGAATGATTATGGACTTCCATTTTTAATTAGATGATTTTTCCACTGGCACAGTAGCACCTCTGTGGGAGGACTTCCACTGTTTTATTTTCCTCAAACATTTGCCTTTAAAAAGATGTTTTGCAAGTTGGCCAATCAGACACTTCATCGCTTGCACTCTGGTTGAGCTGCCGCAGCAGAAGCGCTTTCAAAGCTCCAAAATCCGAGGTAAATCCCTGGGTAGGCCTGGCATACATGGCACGGTGCCCAGCCGCAGAGGTGCACGCAGGCGCAGGGCGCAAGACAGTCAGAGCAGCTACACGGCTTTTCACCTGAACTCTGTTTTCCCTAAATATACCGATCAGTGCTCACTGAAGGCTACCAAAACGGGTTGTGCTATAGAAGCTGACCTGAATGTGGGACATTTGGAAGTTGCAGCCATATTGAATGCTAATTCAGTCTCCTCTCTTCACAGATCATTGTGCAGTATTACTTTACAGATGATGTCTTCATGATGTGGAATAGCCTTTAGGAACAACTTTAACATTTCAATCACTGGCTTAGCACTTCCAATGCACACCTCAAGTTTTTCCTTTACTGTAATAGGAACCAGACATATTTTTTGGAACCTGCTATTTCACTGAAGGAAAAAGCTCCCCCCACCATTTTGTCTAGAAAGACAGCGAGAGAAACACTCTTCTGCATAATCACAGATTTTATTCTAGACAGTTTAGCAACTGTTCAGTGCTTTTAAACTCATGAGATTGTGTTTTACTGAATAAAACTGCATAAAACAAAGTACAGATCTGCAGAGTGCACCAGGGTCCAAAAAACCAGGCTGTTTTTCAAGTTTCCAGGAGAAGCTTTATGCCACTTTGAAAAATCCTTTTGGAATTAGGATGAGGTCTTATTTTAAGGGTCTTTTTTCCATTTTACCCCAGCTTTCTGGCTAAAGCGTATCATTCTCAGACACGTTTTTCCTTTACAGTGTACTTTCCACAGCCACTCAGGCGTATATACTTACTATACAGACGGGCTGGGGAGGTGTTGTGAGGATGCTGAGCTGTTTTAATCTAAGGCCTAGCGGTTTGCAGCCAGACTACCCTCACTGGCACCAAAATCCTGCAGACCAACCAGAGCCAAAAATAAGGGAGAAGCAGCACAGATCAGATGGGACTGAAGTCAAAAGATTTAAAGTCAAATTCCACAAAACACAAAAACACAAAAATGTTTGGAAAGGTTCAAATTTAAGCTTTTAACCTGAGCTTCTATCAAACCTCAGCCCAATATCGCCCTATGATACAGTCCTCCCTCTGCTCTCACCACAGCATTCAGAAATGTACCTCATTCCTGGGATTTAACTTAAGTAAAATATTTCCTTCTTCCAAACTTGGTTTGTATCCTAGAGTTTATCCCGAAAAAATTGCCATGTCTCTACTCTTCTACCCGTGTCTCATTCAGAGACATGTAGAGCCTTTTAAAACCTGGACTGGAGTTCAGTTTGCAGAAGAAATCTGCAAAATAGCTTTGCCTCTTGTTTTAAGTTCAAACTTGGGTATCTGTCACACACCTTAAACTTAAGTTATAGCAAAGGATTCCTCTTTCTTTCTCCAAAGAGCTGTATACATTTCTCTTTAGGGGAAACAAGCAAGTAATACCACACACACACAAGTAAATCAGACCATTTCTCAAGTGAATAATGTGAGTACACAAACATAAATTCCAGGTCTAAGGAGCAGAAGTGTGGACAGAGCCCTGCGTGGCAGCCCAGCAACCAGTCCAACTGAAATGCACAATGAGTCCTTCCAAGCAATCTTAGGGATGCTGCCACTTACAGCTAAATTGGGGGCGGGGGGGGGGATCCATGAAAAACAATCAGTTAAATACATAGTGGAAAAAACAACACTATTATGCATTATACATGGTTATCGCACAGTGTCATTTTAAAACAGAGTTAATGTTATCTAGGTACCTTCAGGGTGCATCCATAAACATAAGCTGTTCCAGCTGAAAATAGTAGTAGGGATAATCACAACACTCCTGCGTTGTATTTTACCTAAAACTACTGAGAAGTACGATTTTTATCTAAGAGTTAATAATTTTTATGTGAACTGTATGCTGAGTCCCTCTGAGCTGGCCTCTTCACAATCACTTTGAGGACCCTTGAAGTTTTTGCATTTCATGGTTCCTTTTCTTTCCCCAACCTTTGTCTTATGTGGAAACCAATTCACTGAGAGTGAGCCTGGGAGATACTGGACCATCTGCTTAAGAACAACTGGTATTTGCAATCAAGCTCCTTCTGTGTCCTTCTTCATGGGTTTCTGGTTAGGTTGCCACTAAGAGTATTAAGGCAAGTCCTCAGCTTGAGCTCTGAGCTAAGGAAAAGAGGAAGATACCTTTCAGAGAAGAGCTGAGGGACCTGTTACAGGCTGGAGTACAGCATGAAGGGAGGAGAGGTGGCAGGACTCTGCACACTGCAGTCAGGACGCAGCTGTATGCTAGAAATCAGGGGCCTCTAACCCTGCCTTTCAGGGGAACCCAAAACTGGCAAGCACAAATGTGATGTAAAGCTTTCGGAGTTGTGCGTCCAGAGAGATGCAGTAGAGAATCTAGCCAGAAAAAAGTTTTATTGTGTGGTGCTATCCCATCTGCTGATAGACACCCTATAAACGGATTAAAGAAATAAAGGAGGAGAAAAAGACATCTCTTACATTCCAGCTCCTTTGCATTCTTCAGCAAAGCAGCGTGCACATTTCAGTCTCTTCTGGACAGCTTCAGTTTATCGGTATGTTCATATTGCCAGTGAAAAATCCTTTTCTGCCATAACTCTCACGAGAGACACTGAGTTCTTGTGCATACCGTCATTTCTGGAATTCCTATCAGGAGAGACTCTTACTGTTGGAGGATACTAAAAACACCTATTTTTAGGTGTGCTTTTACCTTTGTAACAGTCTCTGTGCTTAGCAGTGCTTTGCATAAAATTCCTTCTCATAATATAGCATGTAGCACAACCCCAGCATGCAGTCGCCATTTCTACATTTCAGGTGAAAAAGCTTCCATCACGCAGATTTTCGATGCTTTTCCTTTAGAAATGAGACTCCATATTTACTGCTCCTGAGATAAGATTTTTCTTCCCTGCTGGTATGCAGCACTGCACACTGAGTTACGTCTCACCTATCAGCTCTTGTGAGAAAGCACGCAAAGTATACAATTCCTACATTCCTCAAGACAAGACTCTTACAGTAGCACTGTGAAAAGTACCGGTCTTCCTACACAGAAGTGGCAGGATAGAGTTCAAGCATACCATCAAAATGCAAGAAAAGCTCTTTTTTTCTAGGCAAATAGTTAAGGCCTAAAACCTGTGCTTTATCCTTTAGTATTCATGTAAATAAAGCTTTAAAAGTTTTAAGTACTGTTTTCTTATGCAAGGAGAAACTAAACTAAGCAAAAATAAGCCAAACCACGAGGTGATGGTGTTTTTTTCTTTTTTTTTTTCCTTAAAGGTGACAAACTGAATGGAATTGAAATTATACTTAAGCTTTGGGACATATTTGTAGGACTTCATGGAGGAGTTTGTCCTGTGCACAAGGTTGAATTTTACTGCATATGCTTGACGCCCCTTTACACAGAGGTTGATTTACATAGGGACTTTGCAGGGACAAAAATAACATTCACGCTATCTTCAAGAGCCTTTTCCATTACAGAATTGTAGCAGAAGACTATTAACAGAGATGTTTAACAGCTAATTACACTGAATTTTAAAAATATTTCCTCCTCACTGTTATAATTTTCTGCCCTCTGTTCTGACTCAAAAAAGTTTCTACTGTTGTGATTTGTCCTTTCCCGGACAGTTTTAAAACGTGTCTTTCCTTTCACCTTACTGTCCAAATGTAACACGTCTATGTAAGCTTCTCCTACAGAATGGCTGCCTTTCTGTATCCCTCAGAAGACAACAAATCATTCCGTGAATCATTTCCTAGGCCTTCTCTTCAGGAAAAAAAGTAAATCTTCCAGTTTATAATCCTGGAAGGAAGTCATTCCCTATCTACATCCAAGAAAATATTACTTTCAAGCTGAAGAATTCCTGGTTTGATCCCCAGCCAGTACAAAAAGGGGAAGAGGTAAGAGATGGCCTGTAGCCACCTTTGTTTCCTTCCCACCCCACCTCCATGCAGATGCAGCGGAGGATGAGCCCAAAGGTATCAACTGACCCAAACTGCCAAAGTTTCAGAATCCTTGAGTGCAAT